CCAGATCCTACAAAAATTTTTAAAATTGATGTTTTTTGTTGGTCAGTTTATGAGTGGAGAACATTCATGTTAGCAAAGCAAAGCAGCAAGTCAGTCACACGATAGTACTGTCCGTTTTTGCCACTGTTTGTATGGGCTTGATTTCGCTGTCTCTGTCTCAACCCTCTTCCCATCTTCTGCATTTTGCTGTCACAGCAGAGAGTAAATATTTTCTTGCAGCTTTGCTCTTTTGTAGCACTTCTTAAAAAACAGCAAGACTGAAGTTGGAACACACACAAAACTTGAGAAAAAAGAGCACTAAAATATGAGCTATTGTTATCACTCTTGACGGCATGACAACAGATTAGTCTCTCAACCGCCCAAGGGGCTATGTTTACTGTGATATATCCAGGCTGGATTGTTGTGCTTCTGCTTTTTAGAGGGCGTTGTTTTGATCTGCTGGCTGGTGTTCTGAGGCGGTCTGCATTTCGGTAGTTCATTCGGACGTTTGACTAGATTACGGGGTGGTGGGGACCAGTGCTCGTGCCTCCCGAATTCCCTCTGCAGGCCCCGCAGTGTCTGGGCGCCCAGCTGCCTTGCCCTGAAGAAGACCAATGATTTGGAAACTTGACCTTGACTAGGGTCCCAGGTTGACTTGAATGATGCTGAACTTCACCCTGTAACGAGTTGAGTCAGCAGCCTCTTGGGCAGTATTTAGCAGTGATTTAAATTTTTTGTTCTGCTGAGTACAAACATTAAAAAAATACTACTCTCACCCTGGCCGGTTTCTCAGTGGTTAGAGCATCGGCCTGCGAACCAGAGAGGTCCGGGTTCGGTTCCCACCAAGGGCACCTACCTCGTTGCAGTTTGTCCCCGGCCCCGTTTGGGGTCGCGTGGGTGGCAACCAGTCGATGTGTCTCTCTCACATCGATGTTTCTCCCTCTCTCCCTCCTCCTCCATCTGAAGATAAATGCAAAAATGTCCTCAGGTAAGGATAAAAAAAAATAAATAAATACTCTCTTCATCATTTTATAAAAAAATTTTTATTCATCGAAATGTAGTAAGAACATAATCTTAGAATAGGCTCTACTTTAAGTTGAATAAATTTAATTTTTGAAAAAGACTTATCACATTGTTTATGCTTTTACCATTTCACCAGAAAGCCAGGGAAACTTTGCCATAGGCAAAGTATATGCAGACTCTTGGAAAGTCTGATCTGTGTGTAATTTGTTGACTTTATTGGGAATATATAGTATGAAGCAATTTTTAGTATTTGTCAAAGCAGCAATATATACTAAGTACTTACTGAATATAAGATACTGTGCTAAGCCTATGACAAACAGAAGTATTTTTAAAATTTTTTATATGCCCTAGGAAATCTACTCAACTAGCTGATGTAAAAAAAGTAATAAAATGAAATGAAAGTAAACTAATAAAATTAGCTTTAGACAATCGAACAAATTCCGAGATGCCTTATTGTTTTTTAATTGTAATTGCTATATTAATAATAAGAATTTCATCCCAAGGTAAGCAGGAAAGATGTGTGTGGCAGAAATTTCTAGCTACCGATGCAATACCATTCTTCCCTTCCCTGTGAACAAAACCTCAGTGTTGTTGTTGAACATGGCTGTGTGCCCAACTAACAAACTACATCTCCATTCTTTCTTGAAACTAGGGCATGACGTGCTATGATTCTGGCCAATGACATGTAATCACACTTAAAGGGGGCTTGACTTACCTGGCACATGTTCTATTTTATTTAATTTATTTATTTATTTATTTATTTATTTATTTATTTATTTATTTATTTATTTATTTCTTAATCCTCACCCGAGGACATTTTTCCATATATTTTTTTTTTTGTTCAGATAGAGCAGGAGGGAGAGAGAGGAAGAGAGAGAGAGAGAGAGAGAAACATCGATGTGAAAGGGACACATCGAGTGGCTGCCACCCATACGACCAACCAGGGCCGGGGACAAACTGCAACCGAGGTACATGCCCTTAGCGCGAACCGAACCCGGGTCTCTCTGGATCGCAGGCCAACGCTCTAATTGCTGAGCCAAACCAGCCAGGGCTCATTATCTTAATTTTAGCTTTTTCATCACCTTGGTACATTTTGTAGAACACCTACATTATATGGAACTATAAGTTAAATCAACCCTACATTAAAGAATATAAGTTGAGAAAAAGCATACATTTATCTATCCCCTTTTTTTTTTTTATCACACCACTATTTTTTAAAGGTTGATTTCTTTGTATCAGCAGGAAGAATATATGACTAGGAAGTTTGAAGTCCTGGGCTTCCTAAATTATTCCTTCAGAACACCTGTGCCATTAATGCCAGTAGCATTAAAGTCATACGCATCCTGTTAATCAACAAGGCTAGAAACCAAAAGGTTTGACTTGAAAATCCTCTTTATCTTCTATTTTTAACATGTTTTGTTTGGAGTAAGTTGTCAGACAGATGTGGAATTTTAACATCTGTGTGTCTTTATAATTCTCAAACAGATACCTGAAGAAAAACATACTATTACTAGTAGACTTAGAATTTGTGTGTTAAACAAGCCATTGTTCTCTCTGCTTCTTTGGATGCCCACACTCGGCCTGCCAGCCTGTGGGGAGCTTTGCCCTGTTGGCAGAGACTTCGAGGTGAACCAAAGAAGGAGAGTCTGCTGGAATGATTTGAGGGGAGGGGCTGTGGTGCTGCAGGGAACCTCGTTTCCTGCCCAGCTGGGCACCCTCCCCGTGGGGTGGACCACACTTTGCTGCCCCTGTGGCAGGCCCAGGGGCCTTTTGGAGAACCTTCCTATTTTCCCTTTTCTGTCATTTCATCGGAGGGCAAGTGATCACGTCCCCTAGGCTGTGCTTCCCACTTTGTCAGGAAAATGATGGAAAATATCCAGAAATTGGCCACTTATTGTACTATTATCGTCGGCGTGGCGAGGAAGCTGCCTCCGGACTTCCCACCACAGAGCAGCCGGCCAGGTCCGAGCGTCACTGGGCGCACAAGTGCGGAGCTGGTGGAGTGCAGTCAGGGAAACTGCTGATCGAAATGACACAGAACACTGTGCTTAGGAAACTGTACTTCCCCTTTGCAGTATCACTGCCCAGGGTACCCCTCCAGGCCGCCCTAGGCCTTGGACTGGAAGCCAGTGCCGCGCTGCAGGACGGCTGCGGGACAGCGGTGGAGGTGGCTCTGCGGCTCCCGCGCTTCCTAGTGGTGAAGGACGATGGACAGCGGAAGACCTTGGCATTTGGAAACATTATTCTGACAGACTAGGGCAGGGAGCTGCACCCGAACTGTGCATGCCGTAAAGGCAGGTCTGTTTTAAATGTGAGGTCCATAATGTGTGCAAAGCTCTGAGCTTGGTGGTTTGGGAGATGCAAAATTATATGAAATACACTTCCTACCCGCAAGGAGCTAACAAACATGCGAGGGAAGGGGAAGGCCACACAAGTGTCATATTTAAAAATATCCTGTGGTACGGGACACACAGTGCTGACAGAAATGGAGAACAATGGATCCCTCCTTTTTAAAGGAATGTATATGTTTGTGATCCACAAAACTTGAAGCTTTCCATGTTACATTTACATGGCTAAGTACGAGAGTAAAATTTACAGCTACGTGTCTGAATAAGTATGCACCGGGGGATGGTTTCTTGAGGCTTTCCCTACGTGTGTACCTTTTTAGTTCACTGCGGGTGTTATTAACCCAAGGCCCATGGCCTCCTGGAGAATGTTCTGCGGATTTGGTAGATAAACATACGACGGCAGTTTCCTTGGGAAAGAGCCGATCCACTAATTTACAGGCTGCAGTCAGAGACTCTTCTCTTGGCTTTGCATACGCTTCACCTCTTCACCTTCATTCCCATCCGTTCTCACTCGACAGTCGGCTATAACGTAAGTTTTGCCTTTGTTGAATGCATTAAAGTGTATATGTCATATTCCTAAGTTTGAAGACAGACCAGTTCAGTATGTTTTTCACAATGAGCCCTGCCTGCCATTAACTGTGACATTCATTTCCAACTCAGGTGCTTCATGAGAGAAGCTGTTATTGTTCCCATTTCACAGACAGGCTCACTGAGTCCCTTCCTAAGCCTGCCCCCTAATAAGTTACAAAATGGTGGTTCATTCTCATCTTAAATCTGAAGCTCGTGCTCTCCTATGCAGTATACTGCTCTATGATTTATAAACTGTTTTCTCTCTTCCGCTCAGAAACTGAACAAAAAACCTCTTCTAACTTGCAGTTTGCTCTTCACAGCCCCTCGTGGTTTTGAAATGCCAGAAAGCCTTTTAAAGCAGGTGGGCTTTCGCAGGGTAGTCACCCTGGGCACATGCATACTAACTCTCAGTGTTGTCTTCAATGGAAAGCAGGACCTGTTCATTGAAATCTAGATCATTTCAGCAGATTCAAGCATCACGTTGAGATGTTTTTAATGTAACAGCTTGCACGAAGAATTGCCCGCATACCTGCCACCGCGGTGCTCAGTCAGAACACCAGAAAGTGGGACGGACATGCTTAGGAGGGGCCACTTTTTCAGGCTGCACGCTCTGCCTCCTCCATCCCTCACCCCTGTGGGTGAACATGGTCTGTAATGAGATGTGTCACCGGTGGGAAGTGTTTGACACATGAACTCTGTTAGATGCAGAAGAAAGGTGAAGAAAAGCCGTATTACATCACTGAGCCATCTCCATTTTGCAGAATGCTTAGTAGGGAGAAACAGTGGAAGTTTAGGATCACTGATAGTTTTTAAGTTGTGTGTACTTACTTATATGTAAATTTTATGTAATTGAAGCACTTCAGAATATGGTATAAGATATTTTAACCTAAATTATCTCTCTAAAGTAATGGCTGAGCATACTGTAAACTCTAAATCTTTTATAATCTAACTGTTCAAAACCCTTTTGTAGTTAAAAAAGAAAGAAATCCAAAGTGGTTTGTATTTTGAAAATACGTTTCAAAGAAAACATCACAAAAGTAAAATTACTTCATTGCTCTGCCTTTTCTTTTATAATTTTAGGCAAGGCACTGACATTTCTTCTGCTGCAGCCGCCGAGCCCCAGACTCCCTCCACACAGCACCATCCGGAGAACAGCCATCGATCTGATCGGACGCGGGTTCACCGTCTGGGAGCCTTACATGGACGTGTCGGCCGTCCTGATGGGGCTTCTGGAGCTCTGTGCCGACGCTGAGAAGCAGCTTGCCAAGTATGTGTTCAGTTCCAGTTAATTTAGTTGGTTTTTGTTTTGCTTGTTGTCATTGATTACCCTCTGTACATTGTGTTTTTTAAATAGAAAAATAAAATCCCAATGTCTGAAATTTTGGATATGGACAATGACAGGAAAATGTGTTCCTGTGATTTTAACACCATTGCAGTTTAGCACTGAGCCAGCGAAGGATTCGTCAGTAACAGTTTTTAAATTGTTTATTGTGATTATTAGCTGGTAATAGTGTAATCGTATTATTTAAGGAAAATTACGGGTGAGGGCGCGCGCGCGCGTGTGTGTGTCTGTGTGTGTATTTGCCCCAAATGATTTACTGATAGAATATGTGACCAAATAGTTTGGGGAATTACTTCTTTGTTCTTGTTTTAATTTTTAAGTCAACTTTATTGAGGTTTTATTTGCACACAGTAAAAGACCAGTCATTGGAGGCTGCAGTGATCCAGGGAAGCAATGATGAGAGTAATGGAATAGAAAGATGAGCCGAGGGACTTGCTGAAATGAAATAAATGGAAACACCTGCTGACCAATTGGCTAGGAGTTGGGGCTGGGGAGTTAGTGTTGACTTGGCAACTCAGCCTCCTGAATCCTGGAGGAAGCCTTTTGGGGGGTGGTATAGTACGCATAACATGAAATTTGCCACTGTAATCATCTTAAAGTGTATAGTTCTGTGACATTAAGTGCATTCACAAGGTTATGCAACCATCTCCACTCTCAAGTTCCCAGTAGTGGTTGCTCCAAATGGAAACTCCATACCCATTAAGCAGTCACTCCCATTCTCCCCTGCCCCCCACCATTCCTGGCAATCACTAATGCTTTCTATCTCTGTGAGTTTGCCTGTTCTGAATATTTCATTTAAGTGGAATTATGCAATATGTGGTCTTTTGTGTCTGGCTTCTCTCACTTAGCATATTTGCAAGGTTCATTCTCGGTGTAGCATGTATCAGTACTTGCTTTCTAATATCCTATGCTATGGATATAGCCCTTTTGTTTTTATCCATTTATCTGCTGATGGATGGACCTTTCGGTTGTTTCTACCTTTGGCCTATTGTGAATAATACTGCTAAGAACATTCATGCGCAGGTATTTGTTTGAATACCTATTTTCATTTCTCTTGGGTAATTACCTAAAATGGACTTGTTGAGTCAGATGGTAGTTCTATGTTTAACTTATGGTTGAGGAACCACTATTTTCCATAGTGGCTGCACCATTTCACGTTTCGACTAGCAACATACAAGAGTTCCATTTTCTCTGAATCCTCACCAACACTTCTTTTCTCGTTGTGAGTGTGAATTCTCCGACTGTCCCATGACGTCTCTCTGAATGTAAATGTGATTGCCTCTTTGAGTTTCTCAATGATTGGAATTCCATTCTTATCGTTGTTAATCTTTAACAAAAATCTAGAGTTCTCTGCCCTTTTTTCCATGGTTGCCTTTCTAATACCCCACAGTTCTCTTCTGTCCCACATGCACTGGGCTGTAGTCTTTCTGATGGCTGCTCTATGCTCAGAAAGTGGAGGTCAGAGAAACAAGGGAAGGCTAGACTTGAAGGCTCGGCTTTGTCTGCAGACTGGACACTCCCAGCCCCAAATCCCAAGGTTGATTGGTAGGACGGAGGTATTTATTTCAAACCTGGGCAGCCGTCCCCCCATCACCTCCTATCTCCATGCTCCTGACCTTCACCTGGGTGTCTCCCTAGCTGTGCGCCCTCAGCAGATGACTTCACCTCTCTCCCTCAGTTCCATCTGTCAGCAGGCTAATTAAGTACCCGCCTCAGAAGGTTGCTGTGACATGAGTCGGTATTTGCAGAGGGCTTAGAAGAGTATTAGCACATGTTAAGAGATGACATGGGTGTCACCTCTATGGTGGCAGCACAGTGGGAAGCCGTTGTCACTATCCTAGTGTTCAGCAGATCAAGAACTGCCCATCTCTAGAATGAACAGTTGAGCCTGTGTAGCCGGGACGGTTTATGACATGAAGGCTGGACGGCTCTCGATCGACTTGGATTCGGAGGGAGTATGAGCCCATGAGTTTGCGGCAGTCGTGAGAGGCAGCGACCTTTGTGCAAAGCCCCAGAGTGTATCTCCCCTTTGCCCTCCCCTGACTGCAGGTGCCACGGATGCCAAACGAGCCCAGGGCTGGCTGCTGTGCCCTCAGCTCCCCTGGTGCTTGGGAAGCCTTTAACTGGTTTCAGTTGTCTAAAACTCCACTTTGGCCTAATCTGTTAGATTATTTGCAAATCAGATCTAAACACAGTTTCAACAGTATCCACTCTTGTTTTCTTGCCTGGGAAGAGAAGTAATGCATTTTTATTTTAGGTTTAGTATTTAATATTTGTTTTTTAAGTGAATTCATATGACGCTTATGTCAGCAAACAGAGATGCGCTTATGTTTTATCTACATATAGTATGTCTGCAGACACAGATGCTATAGTTTGTCGGTAGGTAATTTACACCTTGCTAGTATATCCCTTTCTGTCATGAAGATTAGTATGACTCTCTACTCTGCTCTGAATAAGTGAATGTATCAGCATTTAGCCTTGAGGAGTTCAATGTAATTTTCCTCGTGATAAATTGCATAATAAGCAAGAAAATGTTTGCTTATTAATCTGTAACAAGATTTAGATTGAAAATGGCCCGTTTCACCCACGACACCCTTGGTGCAGGCTGCAGAAGGACTGAGACATGTGCCGGGGTGGCGTGCGTGGGGCCACGTGCGCGTCTCATGCTCACGGTGCCCTCCGGGCCACCCCTTTGCACCTGCTTCGCTGTGGGCCGTGATCACAGAGCTCAGCTGCCCGCTCCTCACTGCAATGTTACACTTGCATTTCAGTTCACGTTTGCTAGAAAGAAAACACGTAGGCCGTGGTCCCCTCTTTCTTCCCATCCCTGTGAATTTATGAGGGACGGGTTTTGGGGAGGGGTCCTGCTGCCCCGTCTGGAGCATGCATCTCATAGCAGGGTTCCCTCTTTCTTCCTCTCCTGCATACAACACCCTCTGCCAGAGATGACTCCTGGGAAGTCTGCAAAAACTGTGTGGTCAAGATGAATAGGGTGTTTTCCGGAATTAACAGTGCCTTTATTTTAGTTAAAATATGACTTAAATTTCACATCTTTGAAATCAAAACCTCACCCGTTATTTTCTCATGTTTTCAAATATTTTGCCAAATTATCAACTATGTTTGTGAACTAAGCAAACATTTCCTGAGTAGCTAATGTGAGGAAGGGTCGATGTTAGACGGTGTACGTAATTGTCACGTTGCAGAAATCAAAGATCCTGTCTCCGTGGCACTTGCAGCCTTACAGGAAGGCAAGATCTGCCCGGAGACAGCAGGATCTGAAGGGAGAGGGAGCGGAAGAGGTCTGGGGCTCAGAGCGAGAGCAGAGACGGATAGCGGGTGATCAGAAGTGTGCAAGGAAGTTGCAGGTGGATCTTTCATTTGGATGATTTATGAGGAGTGGAAGGGAAGGACAAGGACATGCAGAAGGACAGAGATAGGACAGCACAGGTGTGCCCCAGAGATGCTGAAAGTAAATGTTGCTTTTAACAAATTTTATCCATTAACTCTTTGCAGAACTTAAACTGTGGATGCTTCCATCTAAACGCGAGCAGAATTTTTTTCTTAGATACCCCTGGGGAATAGAATCAGGGTCAAAGGGAACGTTGATTTTACTTTTTACTTTATAAAGAGAGCACTAGTGAATTTCTTTCCCTACTTCAGCGCCTGCCCCTGCCCAGCAGCGAGCAGGGAAACGCGGGGGAGCAGTCCTCTCATCCAGTGCTGCTCCCCGTGAGTTCTGTGCCACACGCTCCTCGGGTGCTCCCATCAAATAGGCGGAAGCTTAAGAAATACACGTTATCATCCCCATTTTGCAGATGAGAGTAAGATGAATCTTGTCTTTCGTCCACATTAATACTACGGTCGATAAAAATGATGGGCTTCAAACCCAGGTCTGGCCGACTCCAAAGCCATGCTCCCAACACGGTACCACCCTGCATTCGAACCTAACACCCACGGAGTTACAGCCCAAAGGACGAAATCAAAGACAACCTCACGAAAGGATGTAGCGTGGTCAACTCAGAGTTTCCAGTGTGCTTTCAGATTTTTAAAATACATTTGATGAAATCATTTTCATTGAGAATTTGTGCCTTGTAGAAGTTAAAAGCCTATTTAAATATCAGGTAAGCTTCTTGACTGCTTTGGCTGTGTATTATGCCAAATATTGATAGCAACTGTGTAAGAATAAATAGTATTCTTATCTATTCATAACTCTCGAGTGATTTACTTGCAGTAGCATTCTAATAATGTCATGGAATTTTAGAGATGAAAATCTTCAACAGCATCTTATCCAATGCCCCCAATACGCTATTAAGTAAAAATAAGGGTTAGAGAGATTAACAACTTGTCCGGGGTCACAGTGGTACTATAAGAGCTATGACTGTGACCTAGGTCTCCCGACTCCCGTTTTGCTGTGCTCAGACCATATGGTTATGCCACCCTTTCTATGGCAGGTGACCCCTAAACAGAGTCACATGTGAGGGACTTGTTTTTATCCCCCAACCCCTACCCCTCTGAGGTTTGTCAGTCTGAACTGTACTCCTTTCTATGTCTCTGGGTCTATTTTGTTTATCAGCTTATTTTGTTCATTATATTCCACAAATAAGTGAGATCATGTGGTATTTGTCTTTCTCTGACTGGCTTATTTCGCTTAGCATAATGCTCTTCAGATTGCGCAGGACTTTGTACATGAATGATTTTGGGCAACTCATTGATGACGAACTGTTTGATTCAAATGGAGGCTGCACTTCATTGAAATCATAGGTTGGGTCATCCCCAGCTAGTTGTGGAAAAAATACAAAATTGCAGTATTATGCTTTTTACAAATCCATACATTTGTTAGATTAGTACAGTTGTGTACATAGTGATAAGGTGTTAGAAGCGATAGAAAAGCCTACTTTATAAAGGAACGGGAAAATCCTTGTGCT